TCCTGCTGTACCCAAACTTCAAAACCAACTGCCTGGGAGGGGCAGTGGCATTTCTATTCAGGCATCAAGCAGTGAGGAAATCAACTGACTTCATGCCTCCTTATAAATAACCTACCTAATTCATGCTAATGTCTCTTCATTCCATAGGTGTTAACAACCCACTGCCCTTTTTAGTGGTCTTGATGTTCCACTATTCAAACTACCCTTTCTTCTGCAATTTTGCTGTCCGTTAGCCATTCCTGGTAATCTCTCTTCTGTTTCAGAGACCTAAAGACTATCTTAGTTCTAGCTAAAAACTGTGGCTGCTGACAGATATGGGGGATGGGGGAAAAGTGCTCTATCAGAAAAAGCAGTGCATTAGTTTGACCTGGTTCTGCAGTGTCTGTATAGAACAGGCACTTCAGCAGAGTTTTTTTAGTGCTTTTATCTAATAGCTGATTCAATCAGCTATTAGATAAAGCACCAAAAAAAGCCCTGCTAATGCACCCCAATCTATATGGATGTTGGGCGAGCTGGGTCCAGTTAACGCAGTGCCTCTTCTGGACATGCGCTGGCTCAGTATGGGAACATACAGAGTTTAAAGTAAAGCACTGTTTGTTTGTTTGGGGGGGAAGGGGAGGGCTTTGTTTTGTTTTTAACGTCTCCTGAGTGAGCAGCCCTAAACTCAGGTGTACTAATATTAACTCAGGTGACTGACAGTTAAGTATTGAAGGCACTGTCAAGACCCTCAAGAAGACTAGATTTTGTTTTATGAATTTGAAAAATAGATGTATATTTAACTATAATGACTACAGAACTGACGACACAATATCTTTTGACCATTTTTGCCTAGTTTCTTGTGCTTTGTAAATTGAATATATTATATTGCAAATTAGTGAGTATTCCAGTAAAGTTATATTTGTTTTTGTGTTGATCTTAAACTGAACAACATAGTTCTAGGCCCATAGCATATTAGTAAAGCCTTGTAGCTTCTCTTTAACTGGTGAAAAATGTGTCATGTTATATACACCACACCATCTGCACCCCCCTTTTCGAAATCCTAGATCTGCCCCTGCCCAGAGGTGACAATTCTAGCAACCATCTACCTCTCTGCAGAATGGATACACGTAGTTCAGGCACATTGGAACTGGATCTTTGGGCAGCAGTCTTCCTGTTGCCCAGCCATGTTAATACAACACACCCAAATAGACAAGACTCCTTCACAAGCCCTTTTATTTTTGGAAGTCTGTCACACCAGCTGATTAAAGTGACTCAGGAAACCCAGTTGCTTTAGAACAGAGCATTATTTATTTCTTAATGGCATATAGTACCGAGAGCAAAGGGACAATACAGTTTAAAGGCTTCCGTGCATGGGTTTTATTTGCATCTTAATCTCTCTTTGCAAGCTTCCGTAAATTTCTTATCCTTGGCTAAGAGAGACTGCTACATTTTCTCCCTTTCTGTGCATATCTGTAAGCTGACAATCCATTCATTTTCTTCTTTCTACTCAGTTGAACATTTTTAATGTTTTAGTATTTCAGTTGATCCTAGAGTTAGACCTAGGAAAACTAAACCTTGCTGGCCTGGTTAGACCAGACACATGACTTCCCCAATTTCCCAGATGATAACTCTGTTTTGTTGTTCTCTCTATAAAGTGTAACATCAATATCTTTGTGAGTATTACATTTTAATTTCCTCATACCAGACTCCATTTGTTAAGTCTGTGTAATCAGTTGAGTCCAATTTCAACCAGCTAGGTAGAGGTGCACCTGATATTCATAAAAATAATATGCAAACATCTCTCGTTCTCTGCAATGGACAGATAAATTAGTTGCTTCATTGTCATCAGTCATCACGAGTAGAAAGTTACAGGAGTAGGTTTTGTGCATAAAATGATCATTTTTAACAACAGTTCCACAACGGTTGATTTTCTATATACTGTATATACCCCTCATACTATGCGAGAGAGGAATGTTACCAGTATATGCAACATACAGATAACGGAATCAAGCAATTGCAGTGTCAACTAGTATTTCAGTGTTTAACTCTTGGTATGAGTGGTAGAGTATGTGTAAAATGTATCGAAAGTACTGTTCTCTTACCACACATTTGAAAGCAAATGGTGTGTATGATATGTATCAACTACTTGATCTGTTTTACATTTGCAGGAAGGACAGAACCCAGGTCCTCCACCATTAATTCCAGGACTGGGGCAGCAAGGAGGACAGGGCCGTCTTGCCCCTCACAACCAAGGACCTGGGCCTAATAAAGGTAACTAAATATCTTATTTACTTAAGTATAAGTAACCTGCCAGAGAGTCAGATCATGTGTGATGCCTCTAGATCAGTGGTTCCCAACCTTTTTTTTACCACGGCTGGGTGGGAGCAGGATGGGGTGCGCAGAGCCGCCTGCCTCCCTCCTGGGGCTCCCCTGCTGCCTGACTTTAACCTTGGAAGCTCAGCTGTAACCCTGGAAGCCACTCACCCAGGTGGACAGACGGGGCTCTGAGTGGGGCCTTGTGCCACGACCCCACAGCCAACCCACTGGGCCACAGCCTGGTGGTTGGGAACCTCTGCTCTAGATTAGTGATTCTTAACTAAGGTGCCACAAGATTCTTTCAAGGGTGCCTCAGGGTGCCATGCAGTGTTAGCAACGTTAGGTGTGCTGACTGACTCACCAGATGAACCTAGAGATTCCAAATAGGAATCCATAATGATAAGATCATTCTGACTTGTTATGGACTTCCAGAGTTCTTTGCCACAGAAGACTTGCTCTAGTATTTTTCTGTAGTCAAAAAACGAGTGAAAATTAAGAGCTGACATTTTTGCCTAGAAAGGTTGAGAACCACTGTTCTAGATTGATGAGGCCAGAACAGAGTAAGAGGTAGGCATATGGAGAGAGCTATCTGCAGGTCTCTGGTAGAAATATGGAAGAAAACGTTCCTCTGCATGAGTAAATGTTGAATGTAAGGTCTGTTTTTTTCAGAGTTGTAAAATAAATAAATAAATAAATAAAAAATAAAAATTGAAAGGCCCCTGGAGTGATTTAGAAAGTGTCACAGACGTTTTGTTGCATCTTTCCCTTTAGGTGATGCTCGTGGCCCTCCAAACCATCACATGGGCCCTCTCACAGACAGAAGGCATGATCAGAACAGTGGTCCTCCAGATCATGGTCCTGAGAGAGGACCGTTCCGAAGTGGTCAGGAGTGGGGTGATGGTAGGGACAACAGGGGCCTGCCTGATAGACGAGGACCTCATCCAGATTTCCATGATGACTTTGAGCGGCCAGATGACTTCCGTGATGATTTCCATCCAGACAAAAGATTTGGCCATCGGTTACGTGACTTTGAGGGGAGAGGAGGCCCACCACTACAAGATGAGAAATGGAGACGAGGTGGCCCAGGGCCTCCCTTTCCCCCTGATCACAGGGAATTTGAAGGAGGGGGCTCAAACCGTGGGCCTCCTGGGGCATGGGAAGGACGGAGACCTTCGGATGAGAGATATCCACGGGATCCTGAAGAAGCACGATTCCGTGGAAGACGGGATGAGAGGTAAGAACAAGTCTAGTCAATGCTTTTGGATAAAGGGTAACAGAGGGGGGTGGGGGGATCTTTCTCCTTGGGTTCCTTTTCATTTAGGAATCTATCTGTTTCAGATTTATAAACTGGAAACCAATAAGGAAATGAAATCTCTAGCATACCCACGTATAGAGTATTTAAAATCATTCACTAATAGAAGAAAACATGAAAAACAGTCTTGCACACAGCAGCTTCCATGTCTTTATGCTGTAAGTGTAAAGAAAAGGGAGGAAATGTGTAGAGAGAAGATCGGGTGACACAGGACGGGAGATTTGAAATCGTATTGAGAAGAATTAACAGGAGACTTCAAGGCCAGAGATCTGTACTAAAAAGCGGCAAACTTTGGAACACTAGTAGTGGAGATTCAGTATTTTCGTCTCCAGTCCCAGGCTACAGCATGGCTGTAGAAAAATATACAAGTAAGATGTTATAGACTTCCAAGGAGAAGAAACAGTAAACCTACTATAAGTATGAGGGGCAGAGATTCTCTCTCTCTCTTGGACTGTCTACTATTTTCTCATGTTTTTGTTTTTAGGACTTTTATTTCTCTTTCTGACACATTTCTTCCTGAGTGCTAGGTGAAAAACACAAGAATAGCCTAGTTTCTAGCAATGTCCTTTTAGTTGCTTACAGTTTCCTTGAGTAAAACTCAGGAGACAAATTTTGCTTCAAGTTATTAGTGAAAATAGGGAGGAATTCCTTTTCAGCAAGTAAAGTTAACTGTTGCGGAATTTACTCCAGATTTACACTAGCGTAACAGAGAATAGAATTTGGTTTCCATGGTCTAACCTCTCACTGACCACCTACTCCATATGTATATATTATACATGTATATTTGTAAAAACGTATTGTTGTCTTCACAGTGTACAATCCTGTCTTAGTTGCCTTTTTAAATCATTTTCTTACATTCCTTTTACTTTGCATCTATACAGCTCTCCTTTTAGCTATTTGCTCTGTAAGAGGTACATTTCTTTTGTGTGAGGAATATGAAAAGAAGTGAAAAATAACTAAACAAAGGTAATCACTCCACACCTTTGAAAAAAAAGAGTAATTAGAAACAGAGCTTCACCACTGAATGGTCTGTACCATAGAATTCTGAAAGAGATGGCAGACAATATTTTTAAAAGTACAGTTGTAGCTGAGGTTTTTTAAGTGTCTAGGAACTGGGGAGAAATTGATGTGATGCTGATTTGAAAAAGGTTTCAAGAGAAGAGCCTGGGAAGCTACCAGACTTGTAAGTTTGACCTTTGAACTGAGAGAGGGATTAAAGTAAGAGTGCATTTATACAGATCGATTGGAGACAATCAGCATAGAACTGTAAGAGGATTATTATGTTTAACAAACATATGAACGTCTTTGAGTAAGTGAGGGGTTGAAATAGACATCATCCTCTGGCGACTTTTAAGGGGTGATCCTAACAGTCCTAACCCACCCGTCATTTTGACTTGATTTGGAGTTTAAAGATTATAATTGGTTTGATTAAGCATGGGTGGTGTGTGTGTGTTTCTCTCTCTCTCTCTCTGCCCCCCTCTTTTTCTCTGATTTTCTGTCCTGTACATCCCTGTCCTTTTCCTACTCTTCTTGTGCACATCAACATGACACATGTACTACAGAGACCTGGCTCTTCCTGCCTGATAGTCTGCATAGTATGTGGTTGTGTAATAAGTTCCTGTACCTCATGGATGAACTTTTGAGAACCTTCAAACAGGAACCGAGCCCACCAGTCAGGATTTCACGTGTGACCATATTTATGAGCCCAAATTAGGGACAGTAGCTATGTCAGGCATAGCACTAATAAACTTTCAAGCTGAACTCTGGCCATTATGCTGAAAAGGCAAGAAGCAAGGAAGGCATTGACTCCAGTAGCCTTAGGACTTTGTGTTGCAGTTTTAAGATTTATAAGCTACACAGTCAGACTAAGTCAGTATTTCAGTGGAAGACCCTCTAAAGAACATCTGAAGTTGATCTACATTAGAGGACCAGGCAGTTAAAAAGCTAAGCAGTATTGCTCAGTGCTAGTTGAACCATTTGTTCCTGAAACTCTTCAGTTTATCTTCCCTGATCATCGAAGTTTGTGTAAAATGGTTCACATCCAGGCCCAATGCTCCCTGCAGCCACTGCTGTGCCTGTGCAGCTGCAGCATCCTCCTCTATTGTGTTTGTTTGCTGGGAGGTGGAGACCAGTTGTTTTAATTAAAAAAAATGTACAACAGTTTAAAACTCTTGTATTGTGTTATGACTACTGTTAAAATATTTAAATTTGTAATTAAAAGGTTCATGTTGTTAAAATTCTAAATAAAAGTATCTAAAGTTTTGCTTGTAATAGGATGCACTGTGTCTTTAATGAGATGGGGTAGGGGGTGACACACAATGACAAGACTACCTTGGTACCACCTAGCTACAGTTTGGCCAGCATGGAACTGGGATGGTGAGGTGGGGAGTCAACAGGCGGGCAGAGAAAGTGCTCTGAGATGTCAAAGTTGTCACTGAAGGGTGGGCAGCATTGTGGGAATGCATTGTGAGGAGTAATTGAACCAGTGCAGCTGCACCATCTAAACTTCTCATCTCTGTCAGCACAAACTCTTCTGACAGGAGGTGTGCATTGTCGCGGTTATTAAAAAAAAAAAAAAAAAAAAAAAGGGAGCTGTTGCACACGGGTAGAGATGTAGTAGTATTTAAAATGTTTGTGAAATACTACCAACTCTTCTGCACATGGAAACAGAGTTTTACAAACATTCCCAGAGCTTCAGTAGGTGCTACAAATACAGAAAATATCTAACCTATAAGCGATCCTCCGGTTGCCATGTGAGGATTAGTAAAAGGCACTCTACCCACCGAAGAGGCTCTAAATCAATTCCTCGGTGCAGTGATGGCTATGTTGTGCTGCTTTAGGATCCAGTATAAATCTTAGGTACTAATTATACAATTCATTGAAGATTCTCTGATACTTTTTACAAGCGTCAACTTCAGTGTCATGACCAAAATGGTTTTAGACAACTTTGTCTAAATTAAATCCCCCCATTCTTTCAGTTAACTAAACTGATCTTCACAATTCAGTGTATTGCTATGCTGTTAAATAGCTGACATCATGACAGAGTTAACTGCACTTCCAGAATCATATGGTAAATGAATCAATATTTTAGGAATCCTTCAAGATAAAAGCTGCTTTACTGATTCAAGAATGTTATCATAACAAAATAAGCCAAAATCAGGAATCAGGAAATTAAAATCTTCTGTCTAGTCATGAAAAGACTCCCTCTAATTATAATTTTCTCTTTGGTTTCACCATGTAGTGGTAAAGAAATAGAAATGGTTTTGAGGAAAGAAAATCCAACGCATCACAGTTCAAATAATTTCACTTCCCACGGGTTTTAAAAAGTGGGCCTTGAGCTTGGCCCTCTTCTTAGTCACATGTGACATCACTCTAACTGTCCTTTTCATTAAATGGACACTATCAACTTAAATATCTTGTAAATATTTTTCTCTCACTTGTCATGTGAAAGACCCACACAAACAACACAAGGACTCTGAACAGGGAGACAGTGAAAATGAACGTGCAAAGTGTTACGAAAGCCACAAAAAAAAGAAGTTATTCTCCACAAATCTCTTCCAATTGTAATACTTGTAGGTAGTGCAGCAATAGTAGATGAACATTTCAGACACAAGTTTAATTATGGACTCTTTGGTTTAGCAGGGATTAATTTTGCTCTAAAACAACGTTTGTACCATGTTTTTTCTTGCAGCTTCAGAAGAGGAGCACCCTCGAGACACGAGGGCCGGGGACCTAGGGGAAGGGATGGCTTTCCTGGTCCTGACGACTTTGGGCCAGAAGACAATTTTGACTCATCAGATGATAACTCAAGAGGACGAGATCATGGTGGTCGAGGACGAGGTCGGGGGACTCCAAGAGGTAAGGGAGCATTTTTCCATACTGAAACCCATGAGCTTGTTCATGGCAATGGAAAAATGGTTCTTGGGGCAATTGTAATAGTTTGGGTACAGTGTTTCTTGTTCTCCATCTCTTGCTGTACAGGAGGCCGAAAAGGTCTGCTTCCCACTCCAGATGAGTTTCCCCGTTTTGAAGGACGGAAACCAGAATCCTGGGATGGAAACAGAGAACCAGGTAAAAATGTAGGCAGAATTTACTTTACAGCATGTCTGGCACTATTACGTAGCTGTATCTAAAGATGCCATTGTTTTAACTGTTGGATTTTTTTAATGGGTGGCTTTAGAAAGGTTGAAGAGATGTGTGTTTACACTTAACAGATGTATATACAAGGACTGGTTAATGTGTTTCCTGAGCCAGGCAGAGAAGGTGCTCACTATGAATAAAGTTGCTGAAGAACACAGAAAGCATAGACATTTGTTTCTGTACTTTTGAAAAAAGAGAACATCAGATAAGGACCTTTGTCTTTTCTCCTGTGGTCAGGTTCCCGCCAGGATCACCCTCCTCATGACGGACATTCTCCTGCTACCCGAGAACGTTCTTCCTCACTCCAGGGTATGGACATGGCCTCACTGCCACCACGGAAACGTCCCTGGCATGATGGGCCAGGGACATCTGAGCACAGAGAAATGGAAGGCCCAGGTGGGCCCCCGGAGGAGAGGGGCAAAGGTAAATAATGGCTTGTACTGAGAACTTCATAAAGCTGTATATATTTTTGACAGAGAGCACAGAGTTCCTCATGTAGGGTGATAGGGTAGAACTGAAGGTTTAAAATACATTTTAAAACAGGTGTTACTATCTGTGAAGATCTGGCAGTTTTTGGAGCATGATAGAAAATATGAACAATGCCTTTTCACACATGGACACTGCCACCTTCAGTCTTATGCTGGTTTAAGGCTGTTTGAAGATCTGAACTTGTCTATCATTCGTGGTAAAGCCTTTGGGGTAGAAATCCTGTCTTCCTCCATTTTGCATGGTGCCAGGTATGCCCAATATAGTTTTGCTAAAATGAAGCAAATATTATCAGCTTGGCCTTAGTTAGCAGATGGGCAAAGCATCTTTTTCCTGTTAATTGCCTTGAATTGCTATGCTGTTTTGGTTAAGTACCTTCCCCCCAGATTTATCTAAAGATTGTTGTAACAGGAAATGCTCTAGATCCTGGGAAGACCAGATGCAATTTATGTTCATGTCAGGTAGAATATAGCATCCCTTCAGGACTCTTTATCAAAGCTAGACTAAGTGACACTTCTGCAGTTAGAGGATTTAGACAAGATTTCTTATTAATGAATAACAAAAATTGATTTATAAAGAACCTACTGAAGTCTACATATGCCGTCAGAGGGAATTTGGATTAGATTTCCTTATTCGGCATAAGTGGAGTTCTGATAGGGCTGGGCACTCCAATGCTTTATATACTCTCATTTAACAAGCTGCATGCTCATGGTATCAGGTGGAACGGTAATTTGGCTTCAGAGGAATTGTTTTGTTGGTTACCCTATTGAGGACTCTCCTATTGATATTACTGTTATATGTGGTAGGAAAAAGGATATGTAGAAGCCATGCATGTAAAAGTTGAAGATCTCAGATCATGAATTATCTAGGAGGGTTTGAGTTGCACAGGAATTAGCTCAATAAATCTTAAGGATGGGGGCATATTCTGGTACTTGAGAAGGATGACTTGAATTAGAAAGTCACTAGCAATGTGCTTCTTTCCTTAGGACGAGGAAGTTCAGGACCTGCCCAGAGAGTGCCAAAATCTGGGAGGTCTAGTTCTTTGGATAGAGATCATCATGATGGATTCCACAGAGATGAAGCTTTTGGTGGAGGCCCTACAGGAGGCAGTAACCCTTCCAGAGGAGGAAGGAGTGGGAGTAACTGGGGAAGAGGAAGCACCATGAACTCTGGCCAGTCAAGGCGAGGAGTATCTAGGGGCAGTGGAAGGGGCCGATAGAAGAAGCTGTGACTGGGTAATACCCAGTCCTTACTGGACAGTATTTAAATAGACTTCTATTGTGGACTCCTTCAGAGAGTAACCCTGCAGCAACACAAACCTGAATGAACTCCTACTTGGAATAACTGAATGTGCATTAGTTCCTAACAAGGATCATTTCCTAGATCAAGCAACTGCTACTAGCTGCAAGGTTGTAGCTGGCTTTCTGTTTTGCCCTCTCCAACCCATCTTCCTCACCCTCTTTTTATCTGCATTGTTTTGTGAAGATAAAAGCTGGAATTTTTTTTAGTCTTGTGAGACATGGAGCACCTCCACAGATTTCTGTTCACCTCCAGATGGAAACTTGTTTCTATATGTACAGTTTGTCAGAAAAAAAAGTTAAGTTGTTTTTGTATGAATACAAAATGTAATTTGCGCAAGAATTAACAAAAAAAAAAATCAGTGCAATGTGTGATTCTTTATCTTTACTTACCTACCAGGAAAAGCATCTTCCTCTGTTTAATTTTCAGATTCGTGGAGCCATAGGACTACCTCTGTAATTCTCTACAGTACGAAAGTACTACTGCGTTAGTCCCATCAGTGTTGAGCTTTTATGTTTTGAGAATTTTCATTTATACCATTGGCACCATATGTTTATCAAATAATGTATGGGTGGTGGTGCTGCACATCTATTACAGTACACATACACAAAAGGTCAATGTTTGCAGTCCTACCACTCTTGGAAGACAAATGTAGAACACTGGCAAAAGCTTTTGAAGCACAGATGGCATGAAGAGGCCTCACTCTGACTGACTACTGCCGAAACAGCCTTTCTTCAATAAACTCATAGCTTCCTGTGGGGAAGTACTTGAAACAATATATCCTTAATTTAAAATAGCATCAAGTCTTATGCCACAGAGAATAGAAATTCAGCAGCAGATTAATCTGGTTGCACATACCAACTTTTCCACAGCAGACAAGTATACACACTGCCAAGAAAAATGGTCACTATATTACCAGCTGGTGCATCCTAAAAAGTTAGCAAGTGCAAGCCAGGTACCTTGATCATAGATATTTTAAAAATATATATATACTTTTCTTTAGACTTTTATGTTCCATCATTTTATTCCATTGCAACATTGTTACAATTTTTATTTTTTTTATTCCTATTTAATTATTTCTATTTCATAATAAAGCTGCTTACCAACCATGCTGTTTCAGTTTTCCCCATAAATCACCTGAAACCTGGTGGATGAAGTTGTAAAGCATCCTATCCTTTACTCAAGAGATTAGTCCCATGTAAGTGAGTATCTGAGAACCATCTTTTTCCTGGAAATTAAGTTTCCTGCGCTACTGACTGAAGAACTCAAGAATTAGGTACAGGAGCTAGAGGATAATGGAAGAATACTGTGAGCTCCTGCACCATAAGTGTAAGTAAAAGGTAAAGGAAGTGGAGAGCTGACGACTTCCATAATGTGTCACTGAAACTGCTCTCTGCAACAAGAGTAGATGCATATGTGGCAAATCATTCTTTTGTTTTCATATTTTACTAAAAGATGCAAGTTCCCACAGGCACAGCCTGACTGAATTGTAGATAGGAAAGACCTGTGTTACATTTGTGGGACTTAGCAATTCTTTATGCATGCTTTGCAGGAGAGGCTATCTTTTTCCATTGTATCTATCTGGTGCACGTGGAACAGTTTAAATTCAACCAAATTATACTAAATACCAAAGTGTGTTACAGGAGCTGAACTGATTTAAGGAAACTCTGGCCTATAAAATGATGTTACCAGATATTTTTTCTACAGAGAATGTTTTTAAGGAAAGACTGGTAAGCAGCAGTTAAGGAGGGTCTTCAATTATATCTACATATTTGTATCTTCAACCATCCAGGATTTGTCCTAAATAAAGATGCAATGCACATTCTCTGTAGTAGGTTATGATTATTAGTAAAGGGAAAGCAGTTTGTGTTCTTTATCTTTTCTCCTAAAGAATGGTTCACATTAAAAATACAAGCCTTGCATCCCAGCTGCCTTGAAAGGCTGACAGGAAAAAGTGATTTTTATTGACTGCTTTGAATCTGATTCAACGCTGGCTCCAATATCCTCTAAACAACTGGGATAATAAAGAGGCTGACTCCAGCAGCCTCTCTCCCATTAAGGGCTGAGAAAGCTCCCACTTGTCCGAAGACGTGGAAAAAAGTTGCATGCTGTTAAACATAAATTCTGAAATCTAAATATTTTTAGATAAAACATAGGTTTATGCTGTTGTTTCTCTGCAAGTTGTTTTAGTACAAGACCTCCTTAACTCTTCACTAAAAATAATTTTTATAAGCCATTCTTAACCCCTCCAAATGCAGAATGGCAACATTCTAAATTAAACAAGGTTTGAAATCAGTTCAGAAAGGTTGGAACTGCAACACATCCAAAGAGAGGTGTTAAAAAGGTCTAGTATGAGAAGGCAGAACTATTACTAACTTAAAAGTAAAATCTGGAGTCCCAAAATGTAGTAAAACCACAACATCAGTTCTTCTAAAGGGGAGAAAACAGGGTTGAACCAGAGCACCAGCAACCCCTGTGAGAATAAGATTTGCTGTGGTCTACTGTCCCTTAAAGGGCTGTTGCAGCAGCTGGGTAGCAAACTATAGTTTTATGGTAATGGGAGGAACAAGCTCTCTTCAGCTGAGGCCCCTTTACCAGTCAAATATAATAGGCTGTAAACCTATTAACTAGCTAGTCTATGTTCATTTTTTAATCACTTTGTCCAAGAACAAGGAACCTATTTACACTAAAGCTGTAAGTAAAACTTCATACATCATTAATGAGAAGCCCCAACTTGCAAGCCAACAGCAGATTCAGCGTTGGTTCAAACAGTGCAGACTTGTTTTTTTTAAGATACAAAAACTAGACTGTGGCTAGAACATCTAATTTAGCAATTTTAGTAAAAAAACCACTTTTAATAAAGTTGTAAAAAATTAGCTCCACTTTTAAAGTTCCACTTTACAGTTTGTGTAATTACTTTAGTTCTGTGCAAATATAACCAAGTCAGTTAATACTATCGATTAAGCTGTGGTGGGTCACTGGAATACTGCAGGCTTTGGTTTGCTTTATTTGGCCAAATCTTCTCAAGATCAGGCTGTAAACATTATTTGAACATGTACTTCCCTGACCAGCACCTAAAATAGGTGTAAAATGGGCTATGGCATTTACTTAAGCAAAGGTATCAGAAACTCACCCTACACATCGCAAAGGTACCTGAAATCCAACAGCGAACACAAGACAGCACTGCCACAAAGTAGAAATAGAAGCAGTACTGCATTTTGAGTGAAATTGAAAAGTAGTAATTACTTTCACTACTTCTCTATGATTGCTTGCGTAAGATGATCCTATTTGCCAAAGGAGGCACCTTTCTGCCATCCACAGCAGCTACAACTATTACCTGGGTTAGTTAAAAGGATGTTACTTTTCAGTCGTCATGTTACTGAACAGATGGAAGGTACAGTTAAAAATGGAACAGATATGTCCTTGGATTGCTGTTCAGACCAATCCTAGGTCACCTTAGTCCAAAAGGAGCACTTCTGAAGGTGTGTGCTGAACCATGATAAATGAGATAATGCTTGTGATATACTTAGCCTTCCTTGAAGTTTCACCAATGTGCCTGTATTCCCCAGATTTTGCCAAGTATCAACACCTCCTGAAATACAGTGAATTCAGCAAGCAGCGAGTGTAGTAAGACTCTACTCGCTGCCTCAGACTCTGGGTCCATTAATATTTCTGCTGCATCTGGCTTTATTGTGACTCACTTTTCCAAGTGGCCTGTGCAAGTCTTACAGCTGAGACAGGAGTTTGGCAT